GAACTAACAGACAGTAGGTTGGTATGAAGTCTAGGGACATGTAAAACAGAAGACAGAGTTATATCATTGGTCACTCTAACTGTCCCCTTCCCAGCAATGGGCATATGTGAACCATCCGCTGTAGAGACTGTCTCTACTAGAGCATAACTGATAGGAACTGAAAAGGGTAGGGGCATTAGTCATGTGCTTAGATGCTCTTGAGTCTATAATCTAGGGAGGTCCTTCCTTGCCTGAAGTGGATGCAAGATTTGCAGTTGCATATGAACTACCTGTATGTGCAAAGGAAGTAGTGTAGTTGGCTCCTGCATTCTGTTGTCCATCTGGAAGGCTAGAGCTAGGTGAATCTTTCTTACTCATAAGCTGTCCAAACCTCTCCAATTCTATTCTCACTGCTGCTACTGCAATGAATTCCCAACCAGTTTGGGAAAGAGGGGCTGAAGAGTCTCCTGTAGTGGTTACATTTGCATTTCCCTTCTTGTTTCTTATCTGAGCAGGCATAAGATTTGGATGAAGCTTCCAACAAGTGTCCCTGGTATGCTTAGGCTTCTTGCAATAATCACACACCAAGTCCTTCTTATCTTCCCTTCTAGTTTCACTACTCCCCCTGTCCCCATTCGACTTAGGTTTTGTTGTACCAACCATAGCCGACTAGTCAATCCCATGCTGTCTCAGCATTACATTCCTCCTACTCTCCTCTCCAGAGACAAAGGCATAGGGCCGAGAGAGTGTCACACCCTCCCTAGAAAGAATATGCTGCCTAGCAATGCCAAATTCAGGGTTCAGCCCTACCAAGAACTCAAAACCCTATTTTTCTTTACCAGTCTGTGATAAGTTGTTGCATCATTTACACTTTCCCATACCATAGTTTCTAAGTGATCTATTTCCTGCCATAGGGTTTTCAACATGGAGAAACACAGCAAGAGGTATTTCTCCCTGTTTCATACTTATCACTTGATTTCTTAACTGATAGGCTCTGGCTTCATTTTGCTTTTTAGAGTAGGTTTCAGTCACTCCATCCCAAATCTCCTTAGCAGTATTAGCCCATAGGAAATTTTTTGCAATATGAGGTAACATAGAATTACATAGCCAGGACATTACCATACAATTCTCCTGTGCCCATTGGGAAGAGTCTATATCAGGTTTCCTCTCCTCCCCAGTGAGATAGCCTAATTTTCCACGGGCACCAATCGTCATCTAAGCCGATTGTGCCCACTCCAAATAATTTGTACCATCAAGTTTTATTGTATTAATGATCCCAGACCCAAAAATATCACTACTACCTCCAACACCCAGTCCCACAGTACTGGTAGATTTCATCTCGGTATTCCAACTCTCCATGTTACTTCAAACAGTTCAACAATAAGAAAAAAAAAGATTGGAGGCCTTCAAAAAATAATTTAATATCACACACACAGAAAGCAACCCTTCCAGAAGAAGAAAACCTTAGCTGGAGAGAAATCTCTCTCCTCCTCATGCCTCCCAACAGAGAGGAGTGAATCGATCACTCCAGGAGGCTCAGAAAATTCCAAAAACCAAACCGCCCTCTTCAGAAAATCAAAAGAAAACTAACACTACCTAGGTGCCCAAGATCAGATCAAAAACAAAGAGTCCAACTTTTYTGGGACTCTTCCCCGTACTCCAGTTCTTCCTGATTTTGATGTCGAACAGTAGATCACCTTCCTGATGACTAGATCCCACCAAAAAATCCAAGAATTGGGCAATCTATAGCAGATTGATCAGCCCTTTACTACTTCATGCAGTCGGCTGATCTAGGGCTGCATGAGAATGTTTCAAGAAAACCTAGCCGATGCTCTAATACCAAGTAGAAATCTGCTGAATTAAAAAATATAAAAGAAAAGTAGTTTCTTGAAGAGAGAAGGAGAAGAAGAGAAGAAGAGAAGAAGAGAAGAAGAGAAGTTGAAAAGAAAAGAGAGCAATAATCTGGCCGCCCCTTTCACTTATTATTTATACTAAAAATAATAGAACAGTACAAAGACAACTATGCCCTTATAGGGCGGCAAAACATAAAACAGCATATATAACACTCAAAAAACATAATAAAATTTGGACTCACATAACTACTGTGGTCCCCACTTCCTATCTAACAACTAACATAAAACATCTACTCAGAAAAACATCATAAAACTNTGTGGTCCCCACTTCCTATCTAACAACTAACATAAAACATCTACTCAGAAAAACATCATAAAACTGATTAATCTTCAACAAGGAGATTAAAAGAATTGGTCAAGAAGTTTGGAGGGATTTCAAATCTGAAAATCAACTTAGGTAAGAGTTGTGTAGTACGGGTCAACATGGAGGACAATGATTTAAACTTGGTAACGGGTTGCTTAGAGTGTCCCATCACGCCGTTGCTGTTGACTTATTTAGGTCTTCCTTTAGGTGCCAACCCTAAGGAAAGTAGATTTTAGAACCCAATTTTTGAAAGATGTGGGAAGAGATTGGCGGCTTGGAAAAGGAATTGTATTTCATTGGGAGGTTGTATCACTCTAATAAGATCAACTTTGGCTAACCTACCAATCTACTTCCTCTTTGTGTTTAGGATTCCACCAAGGAAAGCAAAGAAATTAGAAAAAATCATGAGGGATTTTCTTTGGGAGCCGGGAGAATCTAGAAAAGATCACTTAGTTAAATGGGAGATTGTGTGTAAAAGCAAGAAAGAGGGTGGCTTAGGAATTTGGAATGTGAGAAAGAAGAATATGGCTTCTATTAGGGAAGTGGTTATGGAGATGGCCTTTAGAGAGGGATAGCTTGTGGCATGAGGTGGTGGGCAGTATTCATGGGAGATTGGAGAGTGGTTGGGATGCTGGTGTATCAATTCAGGCTACTTTGGCAGCACCTTGGGAAGCAACCCACAACATTCTTCCTCATTTCCTTAGGTTTTTCAGGTATGATGTTTGTTTAGGTAACTTAATTTGCTTCTGGGAAGACATCTGGTTGGGGGACCAGCCTCTAAAGGACTTGTTTCCTTCTTTGTATTCCATCTCCTTGTATAAAAATGAGAGTATCTCAATTTTTCTAACACCTCCTATTTTGCCTCTGGGTCATAATTGGGATTTTGGGTTTTGAAGGGGATTGAGGGATGAAGAAGTCACCTGTCTGTCAGAGTTGTTGTTGCTTCTTGAAAGAGTCTATTTAGAGCCTCCTAAACCAAACAGGAGGGTTTGGTGTCCAAGTCCTAAAGGTCTATTTTGGAGTGGTTTTTCTCTTTGTCTGAGTGCAGGCCTAACATGCCAATGGAGCAGCTACCTTTGCGTGGCCAAAGAAAAGGGGAAGCACAATGTGGAGATGCAAAAGAGCAGCAGTGATTTGGACCTTATGGGAGGAAAGAAATGCTAGGATCTTCCAAGAGAAGCAGGGAAGCAAACAAGAAATTATGGGTTGTGTTTTGACCAGAGTTATACATCGGCTGTTAACCTTGGATCTCTTTAGACAATTCTCCTTTGATGATATTTGGAGGAACTGGTTATCAGTGTCTTCTAGTTCAGTACAAAAGACAAAAACAAGGTTGTTATGGGCACCTCCCAGTGAAGGTTTTTTGAAATTAAATTTTGATGGAAGTAGCCAAGGCAATCCAGGTCCTTCTGAAATTGGAGGAGTCATAAGAGATAGGGAAGGGAATCTAATAGCACTTTTTTCAGGACCAGTGGGGAATGGAGAGACTACAAGGGCTGAACTGTTTGCAGTTCTACAAGGTGTTCAGATTGCAAAAGAGATGAACTTGGAAAACCTGGTGATTGAAGGAGATTCCAAAGTGGTGGTGGGCTGGTTAAAAGACCCAGATTCAGTGATATGATGCTATCGAAACAAAATGAAGAAATTCAAATGGTTAACACAGCACATGAGCTTGATTCTACAATGGGTGGGAAGGGAGGCAAATGCTATGGCTGATTCATTAGCTAAGAAAAGGGTAACTAGGGATCAATTTTTTTGGGCTCAGTTGTAATTCTTGTGCTGTCTTTTCTTTATGAGTGTGGCTGCATCTCATGCCTCCATTAGGGAAGCTTGTAACAGTTGCTTATCTTTCCTGATTTAATGAAATTTTAAAGAATCTTTTACATATAAAAAAACAAATCATGGATCTACCTAGAGATCTCAAGGGAATATTTAACTTGATTGGATATTGCTTTGACATTTTCTGTGGATAAATGAATCGTCCTCTTGACAAAGTGAAACAATTGGAAGATAAGTTGGCTACCATCAAATTCAGGAGCTCCTTGGATTCTAAAACTAAGGGTGCAACTTGGGCCAGGTTAGCAAAGCTCAACCCAAAAAAGTGGGGTTTAGTTGTAGGTTAGGGTTGACATAGAACATAGCTTCAGGTTTGATTAGGGATGGGGCCTCTGGCAACACAATTAAATCCAAATCCAACATGTCTATTCTTATGTGCATGTATAAACTATAAAATATTGTATAAATATGCCTTACTAACATAATTTTAAGCTTAGACACTAAGATTTGTTAGTGTAACTTGCTAACACAATTACCTTAGTACTCCTAAAGAACGATAACTTTGTTCCTGTGTATATACCAATGCTAAAGCTAGTTAATCCTAATTAGCTAATTCTGTGTCTAAGAAACATTTTTAAAGCAAAAAAAAAAAACGTGAAGAAATTAGGCCAATCCAAACCCAACCCAATGTCATCAGGTTGGGTGTTCAACATCTTGGGTTGGGCTAGAGTTGACCTCTACCCTGCCCAACTTGCATCGCTACCTAAGACCTCTAAATGCGAAGAGGTGATGTCAACTAGCCTGAATTGCTTGTTCAGGTAGACTACTAAAATACAGATAGCATGGAATATACTTTAAGCATGGACAGAGTAAAAGGTTCTAAGTTATTACATTGTTACAGGACACTGAATATGTCATTTCATTTAGTTGGTAGAAATGGACCTTGAATGTACCCTTCTAACTAGTGCATAAGCTTTTGATGCCTTAAGTAATCATACTTCAAAGTAACTTGTTGGCCTTTTGTTCAGGAATTGAGTTATGAGGGCATTGGGACCCTCCTGGGTTTGAAGCATACTGTAGGAACACTTCCAGAGTCTCTTCCTCCACCAAGATCAGCTCTCCTATCATCATTTATGATGCTTCAGAATCCAAATGTATGTAAAATAGAAATCACTTATAAATCCTTGTCTTGCAATATGTTGAGGTTTCTATTTAGTTACTCAGTGCAATGTTTGTTTTTTCATTTTTTTCCTTTAAATATTGCTTACATTTTTTGTGGTAAATGTAAAACATTTCATTAGAGAAAAGCGACTACTATTATTTTTGGATGAAAAAGGGAAAAAAGAATGTAAAAAGATGCCCTTTCTGGCCTGCCACCATATGTTCTAGACCCTTCAACAAGAAGCATTTGTCTATATATCATTTCCTATAAGATCTAGGATATTTAAAAAAATCCTTAATGCCGATTTTTTATTTTTTGCTTTGATCGGTAACTAACAATCAAAAGAATTTTATTAATTGTCATAATAGAAGAGAGAGAATCCTGATGTTATGAAGTCTAACGGCAAGGGACAATACAATACAGCTTACTATCGACAATAACTACAACAGCAAGAACCCCATATTCTTAAAAATCACATCCTGGCCCAGGTATCTCCTTGTCTGTTCCCACCACCCATGCCTTCTCTTGATAGGGAGTCAACCAATGCATCAGCTATCATTGGAATCTATTTGAAAGAGCTGTTAAAAAATACAGCCATTGCTTTGGCCTCTATAAGCATAAATCTAAAACTCCAAGGACCCTTCTCTGCTGTGGTACCACTTTATAGTCACTTTTAACAACCTGCTCCAGCCAGAGTTGTCACAAGCTGCACCTGAAGACCATTAGTGGGCTGTAGTCTATGGGACACTAAAGGACAAATGTTCAAGGGACACAAAAGGAAAAACTCATACATGGACAATGTTGGCAATTTTGTGAATGGCATAAAAATTATTTCATGATGGCACTACACCATAGCATGAGGTAACACATGGGCTAGGAGGTGTCAATTTAAGGGAATTATGTCGCATTTAAAGGATTTAGTGTTGCCAAAACAAGGGAGTAGGCAGCACTTAAGTGGTTAGGTGTCATTTAGAGGAACATAGGTGGCGCTTGAGGGATAGGTGGTATACTAAGGAAATAAGGAATTTAGGCATACCATTTGATTTTTTTTTTGACATCATGAAACTTCTTGGTCCAAACATTTATGCATTTGGATTTTCTAATCTTGAGATTTCATGAGTTAGTACGTATAAATATAAGGAGTTGTTATTGAAAAAGGCTCATGATCAGATCACATTTATTTGGACTGAGTCAATTTTGACCTGTAGCCGCATTATGACCTGGGTGAACCTTGTAGTTATTGAAAAATTCACCATCTGATCATCTTGGAGAGAGTTAAGAGAGTTTATCTCTCTCCCGGATGTTCTCTTATATCTTCTTTATTATTTGTTGAGTGGGCTGATTTATGTTGGGCCGATTTATGTTTAGTTTGTTTTCTTTTAAATTAAGAAGTTGTTGGGCCTTGGGCCCATTAGTCTTTTATTTTCAAAAGAATTGTAAGTACTTAGTTGAGTTGCCGCCCTACTAGGGGCATCTTTGTAATATCCCATATTTAAGTTAATTATAAATAGAATGAGGGGCTGGCGGCTAG